TTTTACTGTTAATTTACTCTAACCATTCATTGGGTTATCAGAATGAGTTTTGTGGAGATTTTAGAAATTTCACAGATTGAAATCATGAGTCAGTTGAAGCTAGACCACCATTGAAAACCTGGAAGCACTGGACGGCTGTTTCATCCTAGTATGGGACTCCTCAGCAGTGCGCATCCACGATCCCGCACCACGTGGGGCTCGAACCCAGGACCTACTGGCTTTGCGCGCGAGCACTTAACCACTAGACCACTGAGCCGGCATCCAACGGTGTTAATGTCTAACTTCAACCAATCCACGAAGTTGCGCCACCGTTCACCATTGTCTTCAGTGAGTTCCTATCTCACAACAGACCTGGTTGAATTCCACTGGTAACTGCTTCTCACTAGAACTTCGGGAGTTTTTCCTGAAGTCAGTCACTAGTGAGCAGTTGATTATTATCAGAATGGGTTTTGTGGAGATTTTAGAAATTTCACAGATTGAAATCATGAGTCAGTGCTTCCAGGTTTTCAATGGTGGTCTAGCTTCAACTGACTCATGATTTCAATCTGTGAAATTTATTGGGTTGTTTGATATGAAATTCATATGTAGTTACACTGACTAACGCATCTAGAGTAATATATTTTGATTTTACAAAAACACTTTTATTTCTGTAAATTAATTATACATGATGTTTCTAAATAGTTATCGCTTATTTATTATTTTCATGCATCCTAAATTTCATAAACGGTGCGAAAAACTAGATAACAAAGATACTTATCCACCATTTTACCGACTTGTGTACTCATATCTCAATGATGTATATGTGTACATTTTTTACTCTATATCCGTTATCCTATGACCACAATGTATGTAACTATTATGGAAAACTTCGTAGCCAATTTTCCATATGTCTAGAGTTGTTATTTGTTGTACCATGACTTTTAATTTAAATGCAGTAAATAATTCCAAATTCAGTTGTTTGTAACTACAAGATTTTTTTTATAATCAGAATATTATGATAAAGTTTTCAGAATTTTAAGTCTCTCATTTCTGTCATTTAGTTTATCTAAAAAATATGGCATTATACTACTATTATAGTCACTGACCAGAAAAGAAGTAGAAATATATTTGATTTATCTACATTAATAAATCCCTCTAAAATTTAATTTTCAGGTCATGGTCAAGTAATATGACTAATTCTTGTAATATTTTCAACAAATGTCCTTCTATGCATATATATATATATATAACGTCATAGAAAAACAAATTGAAATCCGTCTAAAGAATGGTATTATTTTATTCTTAATTACAAATCAAGTACTTATTTGACTTTTGATTTAAGTGATCTTGATTTAAAAAATTTATGCATATGCCCTGACAACTATGTGTGCGACCAGATTGTTCCAGATCAACATCATCTTGTTGCATCAACGAAACATATAAGTTTAATTGTTGTCCTTTTAATAAGATTATCCTTCCATTGTAAGTTAAATAAAATAATTTGAACAAAAGATTACTAATCTATTATTAAAATGTTCAGAAAAATTCGTGTTTTCGATTATCCATTTTGTACAACAATAAAAATAACAATAGTAGTGTGTATAATTTCAAAGGTAATGACAACAATATTGAAAGATGTACTACTGATTAATTCCATAAGGAAGAGAAATGTTTGCCTAGTGCTACCCGATTTTCAAAGGCTGGATTACTGAAATCAGTCAGTGCGATAGAATTTAAGAATCAATAAATCCCCACGAACATTATGACAATAATAATTGGGATCATGAACTGATCAATGTTAGACCAATCTGGAAAACCTGGAGGCACTGGATAGCTATTTCCTCCTGGTATGGGGCTCCTCAGTAGTTCGCATCCACGATAAGGCGATAGCAATAGTAACAATTATGGTATTAAGTAAACGATTCAAAACAAATCACACTTTTAGCAACATTGGACTTTAGAGAATATTAAAATGAATACATCTTCCAGATAATTCTTTAAAGTACTTTTATCAAACATGTTATATTTATTGTAACACTTACAGATATACATTATTTTGATACATTGTTAAACATATTATAAAGCAGAACCACGATTTCTAGTTCGATGAGACTCGAGAAATGATAACTAAAAATACTGTTTTTAAAGTATTAGGAATCATAAACGTTGATAGCCAGAGGTTTAATTGTCCTGTTCAGTTCACAGAAGATGCTACTAAATAGCTATGGTCTGAACAACTATTAGAATTATAGAGAACCTATCTTACTATTGAAATGATCTTATTTAAAACAGTATATTTTATCATATTTCTCAGTCAAGTCTAAGTTCATAATGGCATTAAAATGTAACAAAAATATCGTTTCACTAATGAGTAAACATTTTGCTCAATGATAAGACCATTATTAAAATTTCATTCAGTTAAATTAAGTTTCCTACTAAAGCCCATTATATATATATATATATATATATATATATTGGTTTGCAGTATTGTATTAAAATTCTGACTAAAGGTCTAATAAATGAAATTCTTGTTAAAGGAAAGCTTTTCCAGTATCGTGTCTCAACCAGTTCACTATCGAGTTGCATATAACACTGGAGGCTGCAGTCGTAAATTTTGCACGTATTTTTAGAAGAGATAAGCCAAACTTTACCCTGGAAGTACTGGTTGAATAAATGTTTGTATAAAGTTCATCCCACAGTAATGGGCTAGAATTTCGAAGATTAGGAAACTATGAGATGGAATAAACCTGGAAATGAAAGTATAACTTGAATAAATCGTGAATAGGTAAACCGAATATACAAATAAACCGAACAGTTTTATCGTTTTTACAGCTTTCTTTGGATTTTCTAATTTCGGATACCATTTCATGCTTCTGTATGTTCTGATGCTACTTAAATGCTTATTACAAAATGAATACCCAATCTAAACAACTAATCGTCTGGAATGTGCTATACGGTTTTATGCTATAAGTCAACTGAACAGTAAATCATGGTTAAAGTCAGTGGATTTATAAATACTGTATAAATTTTTAACAATTAAAATATCAGTCGTGAAAATTTCACTCTGTCAGACAAAATTACGTATACTGATACAAGGAAATAAATGGTGTGACAATATGCAGATGGATGTTTATTGGTAAGCACAACAATATACCATCCAAAGAGGAATCAACATTTTTGTAGCTTATAATGGTGGTTTAGCTAACATCACCTTGTGGTTGGAAAAAAACAAAAAAAATTATGCTGAGCCTCGATAATTACCTTTTAGAAACTGAATTAATATAGTCTCATTCAGTATATACAAGGCAACTATTTTATAACATTCCTGTGTAGTCCTAATTATAATCCTTATAGGATCATAAATTTAACATACCAGGTAGTCAACTACAAATATGTATCCTAGGTTCGTGTCAATACGATTTAACACATTGTGTCAACAAAATTCGCTTTCTCGGTCAGACGAGTCTTAAGTTAAAGTATAATGAACCTTTGAAACAATCGTTCTAGTTGTTATAACTGGAGACTTGAGCTTTTGAAATTTCTTTGGCATGTCATGCAAGTGGAAATGTAACAGATGAATATAGCTTTAACAGTATTAGGAAATAACCTTAATGGGTCGAACACACAAATAGTTGATAACCCTCATATAATAACCACTATATTTTATATCTAATCCAAGTCAGGGAAAGCATGCTTTTATGATGTATCATGATGAGTTTTCTTAAATTCAAATGACTCAAAATCATTTCTATATAAATGTGAAGAAAATACATTATTTCACTAAGTTAACATTTATACAGAGAAATGGATGATTCTTTTTTTACAGATAAATAATTTAATTTAGTAGAGAACTATAATGAAGGATTTCTGAAAACGTCTGAAGTTTATTCACCGTATTATAATTCCGAAGTAGTTAATATTGATAATTTTATGAGATAACTTTAGAGATTCATCAATGATTATACGATATTTTAACGGGTATTCAAAATGTTAACATTCGCAGAAGGGATGCAGTTAGGTCTACAAGGAAGTTAGAAAAGTTAAAAGTAATAAGTAGTTTTTATCTCATTCTCCTAATCTTCTCATGAATAAATGTTATTACACAATCATCTAATGCTTGTTAGTAACATGAGTTCTAATCACCATTTCAATATTCTGGAACTTTCCCTTCCAAACTTTATTTATTTATCCGAAACAAACAATTTTTATGACCCTATCAACTCTATTAGAATCTCCTCTACATCATGACATACATTTTTATGTCTAATCACTCTCGTATTTGTAAGTATGTCAATTATCTGTAAGCAGCTGATGTGAACCTAACGAAATAAAATGAATTCATATTATTCTGTGCCAATCTTCATTCTTGCTCTCTTTATTATAAAACTTTTATTACAAAATAATTTTCTGCTTTTACAAAATTACAAAACTGGAAACTGAGATAGCAACTAATATAAACATTTTTTTGGAGACTGCACCAATCTTTAAGCATACGTACAAAAATAAAATAATATTTGATAAAATATTTTTCATTGATAATAAAATTATTCTAAAGAACATATGCGAATGGACCATTTGAATTCGAGCGGTTTATTTAATTACAAGAGGAAATTGTAATGATTCATTTGAAAAACTATCAAACTATGTCAATAAGATGATTGTCAAGTTATTGACTTGTAAGTTTGACAAAAAGTAGTAATTTTATCATAAAAATGGTTATTCCAATGGTTGGGATCATGAGTCAATTGATACTAGACAACCGTGGAAAACCTGGAAGCACTGGACAGACTTGTGGAACTCCTCAGCAGTGCGCGTCCACAATAGGAAGAAACGGCCGTCCAATGATTCCAGGTTTTCCATGGCGGTCTAGCTTCAAGTGACTCATGATCTCAACCATTGACATTACTATAATATCCACAAAACCCTTCAAATATTTATTCGTACAAAAAAATTTGTTCTCTCGTTCTTTTGTATTTAAGTAATAAACAAATATATTTACACATTTAGAAAATTGAACTCACTTAAAAATAAATAATTCATTACAATCAGCGGTATTGTTCTCATTCCAATTTACTGAGAAAATAATAAAAATAAACATAATAATATTAGATTTTTTATTAATTCACAAAAATAATTTTGTTTACCCCACCCCCCTTAAAAAAATACTACTGCTTTGTTCTAGTCTAACTCTAATGATTATGCCAGTATAATTAAGTGTTAGTATCAAAGCATTCTAATGTAGATCAGGGTTCATATTTTCTAAACAATTAAAAGGCTCAAGTAACCTGTTATGGATTTCTGCATCTTTCAAATGTTATTTTGTGAAATCAAATAAATCAATGTACTTCTTTTATTGTTAAAATAATTTTCACAATGAACTGATATTAATCAAAGAATTTTAGTAAAGTGTAAGGCGTTGATCAACTGTCTTGGGACCTATCAGTGATATATATCTATTATTTCTTATGAGATTAAACTCAAAAAATACGTTCTACAGGAACACATGATACATATTGGTTGCCACTAAAACCATCACGTTTTCAGTGAATGGGTTAATATTTCGTTCAGGAACTTAAAGTTTTGGTTTCAATACCATAGGAATTGTGCGTTTTCTTTACTGAAGATTTCCAAAATAGAATGAAGCCACTCGTCAATGAGCACTGTTTTTCGACTATTTGCTAGCTGACATTGTTTCGTCTCGAAAACTCTTTGATATAATATAAATTTATTCAGAAAATACTATGGTAAATAATAACTATTTGCTGACAATTTACTGGATTGGAAATGGATTTCTAGAAAATCTAGCAGCAAGTAGTGGCATGCTATATCAGCCAAGTAAGAAGTAAGACATTAATCCACTGACGATGTCAAATAAGGTTAGTGCTATTTCACACTGGGACTAAATCAATTTAAACCAATTATCCTATTTGATGCATCAGTCATTTAGTAGAATGAATATCCAAATATTTCAAATATTCAAGTATTTCAAAACCAATCACTACATACACAGAGAAATTTCTGTCTTCTTGAATATATAAAACCATCTTTTATCGTAAAGACAAATGTAACACCTTTTATAGACCTAAGCCTCCACTTTTTCTACATGACTAGGTTAGACACAATAACCATTTAAGCAGAAATTCATTTACTGGGAATCAGTCTTTAATAGACACTATTGGTTCAAATCTAGTGAGTGATGTTGAAAATGATAGTAATAAGTTACTCAAATAAAATTAAATAAAAATTAGATAAAGAATATTGATTTTGATCATATTTGGCTTTATCTAAAATTTTACCTTTAATATACCCGGTAAGACTACTTTAACAACTTCTATTTCATTGGTACGTAATCTTTCTAATTCATCAAAATAATGTACCAGTGATAAATTGCCAACTTCCAAAAACCTACATCAATTAAACTACTCAAATAAAACATATCACTCCATATATGAGGTTATTAATTACTTTTTTGATGTTTAGTAAGTGTGTGGAATCAAGTATTTTCAGGCATTTTTCCGTTTATTTATTGGATGAGTGTTATATCTAAGAGTAAATTTATCGTTGCACATTTCATTCTAAACTTCAACTTTCACTTTATTTTCGTTTTTCTTCCAGTATATTGTTCATAACGGATCGATATGGATTACTTAAGCTACTTGAAAGGAAATATCCGGTGAAAATCACATTCATAGATATAATAATCACACATCAGACGAATATGAAACCGTTTAACAATTTTTGATACTGCACATTTATTGAGCAGTTAAATACCTATAGCTAACCTTACACTCTGTTCGATATTCAATTATTATTTTACTCTCTTAGTTCTTGTCTGTTTATATATATTCAGTATTATTAACTAAGATTCACTTAACCCATATCTTATATTAGTAATCAATCATCAATGTTCATTTAGAGCTGACGTTTTAAACGTGATGATTTATTCGAATATGACCTCAATGAAAAATCAGATAATATTTGTGATAAATGACATGGATGAACGCAGACTTATTTAGAAAAAGCAAGAATAAAAGTACATCGGCTAGTCAAACATCTCACATTAATATGACAAACTAGCAATTGACCGCATGACTATACTTTGTTAATAAGGCTATGTTATTCATAAGAAAAGCATATATTAGACTAGAAAAGATATGATGACATTTTGCCTAGTATGCATGTAATTAAAGTCACTGAAGTTTCATGAACTACCCTAATTGTGAACTAATACAACGTAAAGCCATTATGTTTCTTGTTGAACAGTATATATATATATATATATATATATATATATATATATATATATATATATATATATATATATATATATATATATATATATATATATATATATATTTATATACTTAGTATCATTTAGAGACTATCCTTACTGAAGACAGTCAGTGGGCTCACAAATTAAAGTTCTTTCAACAAAATAAAATAAATGCTAGATATTTGGTTATTATACAATTATCTTGATAAAACATGCTCTTCCAAAGTTACTCGTCAGTATTTTGAACATTTTAATTGTGTGACCATTCGTTATTAAAAGGTTTTACATTTTACATCAATAATATTGTAACTCTTTATGTATTTTGTTCACCGCTCGAGTTTTTTAGCTTCACATACTGGGACGTTTGACAACGAATCACAAGTGTAAATTTTAATCATATTTTCAGCAATATAATAATATTTATCCAGTAAATAGTAACCACAGTCAGTCTGTCAAAATATGAAGTTTGAAATGAAAATTGTAATCAATTATTTAAATACACTGGTTTGCATGATTAGTAACATATAGTTCTCTTCTGAAGCATTTTAGAAATGGATAATGAAGAATACAATAATCACTCAGTAACTTTAACAAATAACGCTCTTCTCTTTCTAGCTACTATTATCACATAATGTGGTATCCCATAATGCACATATTCTAGTATCCATTTGTTAAAGAGGGATACTTATTTTCATGTATTCCTCAAAATTTTGAACACTATCTCTAAATGGTATTTATGTAGTTTCCGGTTACAGGTTTATTCATTTTTACTAACCATAAAATAGTCTTAGATTGGAGATCACTTACACCACACACATTGTAATAAGTGATAAGACAAATCAATATTTTCTCACACATGCTTTCAAATCACGAATACCCTCGAGCGACTTCAGCTTGATTAATATTCACTAGTTAGCTACAGCCCTATATTTCAGAAGTGTACCAGTTGTTTTTTCATTAAACGCCCTTACATTCGATGTTGTGCAAAAATATACCGGTGTGACATATCTATTTAAAATAAGATAGCTTTTCTTTCTAGATGTCGTTGTATCTTTTAACTGTCATTTATCTCATCAACTGGTTGAACTTTGTCCAAGGCGAACGGCGATGTAAGGTTTTGCAACTTTTCTAACTACCAGATTGTTTTCGTAAACGGGTTAGTTTTCTCAATGTCCTATCAATATTTACTTATAAACTAGATTGAGACGACAACATGGATCATGTCATTTATTAATCAAAAAGTGTAAACGGTTTTGTTTTAAAAATTCCAGTGTCCTGTTCTGACATTTTGACATTTCAGATATCAAAGAACTTGGTGCCCATATTTTCTACCAGTCAAGAGAGTAGATTTTTATCCTGACAAGACAACAAGACAACAATAATGAACATTGTAAAAAACCATTTCGGAGTTTTAGTGAGATATACTACGTATTAAAACAAATGATCAGCTTGGGTTTGTAGAGTTTTTTGAATTTCATTGATAAGTCCCTTATTACAGTGAAACGTCCAGTGCTCTCAGACTTTCAATGGTGATCTAACATTGATCAGTGCATGATTTCACTCAGTCTGTGATAATTAATTCATTGAAAATCTGTAAATGAAGCTATAATTGTCATTCACTTATTAATTTTAATTTCCACTTAACATGCTTGTAAATCACCAGAGATTATTCAAGCAATGATGTCTAGTAATGTGTGCTGTTTCGGATACATAATACCTTTTCTTATCCCAAACTATCTATATTAGTCGCTGTTCTAATCGGCCTATTATAGTTATTTTTCATTTTAAATAGACTACTAACCCAAGCTTAGTATTTCCCATTATTTACTTCCCAGATGTAGAATTAGTTCTTAGTTAATAAGTGTTAATGAAAAACCTCGTATAATATATCTATATTTGACTCTGAGGCATTTTGTTCATAAGACTTTTTTTCCATCTGTCTTATTTACAGTCTCCTTGCTTAACATAATCGGGACTTAAAATTACTGATATATCGAAATATATATATACTAAGTGGATAAAATCTTCTTGGGTATAAATTCTATCATGATGATTATGTTTAGAATACGGGTGAATGGTTTTCTTCCAAATTAAATAACAGAAATCTACTTAGAATCTTTTGGTCAACATAAAATCTATGTGTTCATTGTTTTACTTATCATTTACATAAATAAATGAATAATATTTTTACCATGAACATTTAAACTACTTTTAACATTTTAAATCATGACTTACAAACTAAGAAGTGACATATTCAAAATGTGTAACGTATTAAAGATTAAATTATTGTTTTAAGTATAGTAAAAAAATTCTATATTTTAAAGATATCTGTTTATTAAGTAAAGATGGATAGTGAGTAGCAGTGGACTGGAGGATGTGCATTTCATCCTATTCGAGACTCGTCAGCTGGATGTACTTACATCTCAGAGTTGATGTTCACTCTGAGATCTAAAGCAATATCAAGGCAGTTCGAACAGGATACATATATGCCAGATGATCAAATGCAGTCCTTAATAACAATCGGAAGATACAAATAAACAATATCAAGTGAATATCTACTTATTTTTAGTAAACAAGTTATTATTTTTATAACAGTACAATATATATAGTGTATTCAATCATTTAACACTTACCCTTTATAAATTAAATAACTAATCCGCACAATGTTTTATACATGTCGGTCAATTCAAATAATTTCCTTTTATTGTTCCATATTTATTACATAATCACTTATTTATTTAATTATTTATCATCCATGAAGATTTAAAACGAAGTAATAAAATTCATTATATAATTATCATAGTAGTGATTATCAATGAAACTTTAATTACTATTAGAATTGAATGTAACTAATATGTATATGTTTAAAGATTTTATGTAGAAAATTTTTATAAATTTGTCTGTCATACTTCCTATCCTTAAGAGTAAAATTTTTCTTCTTCCCCCTACTTATTCTAATGTAAGTTTTCATATTCATTCATTGCTGTTATTGTTGTTGTTGTTGGCTTTTATATTTCTGTCTATATACTTTCTAATCCTCTTCTTATATTCGCTAAGGTCTAGATAACAAATTAACTTAGCATTTAGCTAGCTAGCTAGCTAGCTATTGTCCTCTCATGATATGTCAGTTGTTTTACATGTGACTAAGACCATTTTTTTTTAAAGTTTGTCTTATTCAAATGTTTATTACTGATTTACTTTAACATTATACGTACACAACCACAAAATATTATGTTTTGAGGTAAAATATCGAAAGAATTTTATAAAGCCTAGTTGTACCATGTTGTTTCTTGTGTATTTGTTTTCTTTCATAATTACATGAAAATTTACAATGGAATCAAATTCTAGGTATTTACTAAAATTCATTAATACAAACACAAGTTTACAAATGAGGTAAAATAAAGTAAACAAAGTATAGTTTCACTAGTCGTACTACACTAAGTAGTTTTATTTACTGTTCAAATCTACCTTATATCGTATTAAAAGCATTTTAAATAAGAAATTATTAGAGTTTAATATGCCTTAAACTATTATTTGATTTCGACAGTTAAGCATTATTATGGGCTTTTAGATTTTCTTGGAAATGAATTTCATGGAATTCTACCTACAAAAGAAGTTATTTGTCTAAACTTTGGATCGAAGTAATTTTCTCAGAAATTGCTGGTTTGATAAAGTAAATGTTCTATTACTTCATTTACACACTGTCTTCTTTTTCAGTTTATGCATAATTGAACGACATTTTACATAAGTAACTTACTTTTGATACTAAATAAATCAGTAGATGATTCATGCTATTTTTTCATTGAATCATGATAGCTTGTCGATTGTTCACGCAATTGAACAATCCAAAATATAAATTTCACATTTTTATTTGGAGCTCAGTAATTTAATTAGGACTTTGTGTTCACACTATCATCACTGTTTTCCTTCATCTCCGTCATCCATGTACGTAGATATAAAGGCCCGTGACTCATCAATCATGTGCAGTTATAAAAATGAGAAATTTACTCACACAACAGCCATAACTCTTCTGGGTTAATTTGTTAAACAGATGTTTAGTGCATACATTCATTAGTTATCAGATCACTGATAAACAATAGTTTTAAGTAGTTTGATTAATCGAACGAAATAATTTTAGGTTCTATTTCATATCAGTCGTTTTCAACCAAAATCAAACTGATTATACAGACATTTTTCGGGGTTTTTCGGAAAACTAGGTGAAGACGGCGTTACAATTCTATTTACTTCAATCGAACAAAACTCATTACAGATAACATACCACACCTATCTATCAACAGCGAACAACTCCGAGAGCAAACGCCCATACGACTGTCAAGTTTGGATCCCCTCATAGATCAAAATGGTTTCCTTCTAATAGTTATATTTACAAGGAGACCAAAGAAACTAAAATTGGAATGCCCATATCAAGACTAGTAGCGGAGGCAATTATGCAAAAAATCCAGCCTACAGGGTTATCACAAATCAAAACGGTAATTTCAATAAACTACATGGATTAAGCATTTGTATTCCTATAGTGGTATATTCTGGGAAATTCTTTCAAGTTTATCAACAATATATTAGAAAACAACGAAAAATAAAAGTGAAGGAGAGTTACCCAAAAAATTGTTGTTTTGGAAGTTTTAGTCAGCAGGATAAACATAAAAGTTTGAAAAACCCATGTTTGCAGGAAACTACACTACACAGACCACATAATGAGCTGCAGCAATAGCAACCCATCTGAGCAGAGAGAGAGTTGTGCACAAACATTATTAGGAAAGGCTGGAACTGACCACAGGAAAAATTGAAGAAACTTATCTATTTAACTATCACAGCAACTTTATCAAAAGGTGAGAAGGGTCGGTCGATTATATGGTCAGAGGTTAAACAAATGAAACAACCAACAGAAACATAGTGACAAATAAAGAGAACGGAGCTGCAAAGACCTTAAAAGCACAAGCTACATAGTTAAAATAAACAGACTTAACGTTTGGTAAAATATCCGGGAAGCTAAATTCTGGATGATGTAAGCGCTAAAGATGTTATCTAAAACGGCAGTGAAAGATTCGTCTTTACGTGAGAGATCACAAAACCATGTTAAGTTTCCATTTCGGAAGGAAATTTTTAAGTTTATCATTCACTATGTGCTAGAAAAAGTTATATATATATATATATATATATATATATATATATATATATATATATATATATATATATATATATATATATATATATATATATATATATATATATATATATATATATATATATATATATATATATATATATATATATATATATATAATAATAATCTGATCGTCTTGTGTTTTTCAAGACAATGAACGTGTGATAATCGTACTTGATCTTTATAGATTTTATGTAAATTTTGATGCAGTGTAAAACTTTTAGTCATCCCAAAGCTAATCTGTTGTGAATGAAACAGGATGCTATAGTTTACTAAGGGGCTGACGGTCACTAAATGTAAAGTATTTCAATATTATAACTGAAAATAATGAGATGCTGGTTTCTAGATTGTAGTTTTTTTATCTACTTAACTATATGTTGGGTATTTCAAGTCTTGTATCTGTAACAAAAGATTGGAAAACTCATTAACAAGAAAGTATACTTTTATAAATATTTCGATATACTACCATAATCGCTAACATGTTATACCGATGCTAGAAGCAAACTAGATTTTGCAATATTATTAATTTTATTTTGACAAATTCTAATTTATGTCACATTTTCATCTAACTAAATTCAAAAGGAACTGTGATGACCAGTAACTTAGTCTAGTCTAGTCTAGTCTAGACAAACAATAGCTCATCATATGCCTTGAAAGTGATTCTTTGAGAACAACCGTGGAATTTTTAATGCTGATTTGTTTTCCTGAGAGTTGTTGACACACAAGTCAATCGTCTTAGTCAGTCATGAATTAGGGACAGAGAAGTGACATTTCGAAACACCATATTTACCCCTATTTAGTTCGTATGTTTTATCTAGGAAATGAATTTACAGACACATTTGACGCTTCTGTCATTAACTAATTCATGTCGGGGTTCTACGATTCTAACCAACTACCGTGTAGTTTTATGGTACGAAGAATTGTATATATCTAAATACGAAATAAAAGTAAGTTCAGACTTATGAACCCTGAGTTAAACATACAGTTGTGGTATGTTTAATCCGGCAGATTTAAACGAATTATGAATGGTTTTAGTTATTATCTAGTTGTCTTTAAATTCTTTGAGAGAATTAGTCAGCAGCTTCTTTGATTTCATATTTATTTCTTTACTATAGCTACATTTTTTTGAAATTTATTGGGGTTATTCAACACCGAGTTTACGTTATCGAGTTATTCTGATTAGTCCATTAAAACTAGAACTAGGACGAAACGCGCATCCTGGATTCTACTGCTGCTCACTATCCATCTTTGTGTATTGTAACACTAGTTCAACAGCTAGCTTCAACTTGTGTGTTGAAAGTAACATTATCAGAATGGGGTTTACGGAGATTTCAGAAGTCTAGAGGGTAAGCATTCGTGCACAAGACTAAAGGTCATGGGTTCAAGTCCTGCATGCGGGATCGTGGATGAGCACTGCTGAGGAGTCCAGTACTAGGACGTAACAGGCTTCAAGTGCTCCCAGGTTTTGGATAATGTTCTAGCTTAGGTTAACTCATGAATTCAACCATGAAAATCACATTCACTATACGTTTATAAATTTAGTTAGACGCTTTGAACCTGTCTGGATTGCTGACCTTTTTTGCATGCATAAGCTTTTATAGGTGTGGAAAACTAGATAATTTTTTACAATATTAGTCATCATTATGCCGTATAAGCATGCAGGGCTTCTTTATTGTCCATTTAAGCATGGTTCAGACAATTGATGTTCAGAGTCCCTAAACATATGGTTAGTAAAGGTCATCAAACAAATTAAAACGATTCACATAACAAATGTTTGATTATTAATTAGTGGGTGAGGCTTAATTACACATGAATACATTTGTTACAAAAACAATCCCTAATTGCCACAATCTCTTCAGAAATGGCACAAATCTTGCAGAAATTCTTGTTTCCTTGTTTAATGAATGAATGAATAGAGATAAACCTAGCTACTAGACCCAGTTCATTAGATATTTTAGAAAGACTTTAGACCCTGAGGATAGTTTGAAGCTCATGGATCATATCCATCTATCATCTGGTAATATCCGTTAGTTGCTAAGGGATATTGTTTGATGTTGCCGTCTACATTCATTCTCACCCCCAAACATTACATTTTTAAGTGGTAAATCCTTTGTACAATAACACAAGTATGTGATTTACTGTAATATGTTTATCACAACAATGTCCCAATGATAGAAAAGAAGGGTTATAGATTTACATTAGATTATTTTAAACATTCAAAATGATAGTAGTTATTAAACCGAGTCATTTAAACGCACATTTAGAAGACACTTATTTCTGAAAACAAAATGTGTTAGCACTGATTATCGATTACAACAAAACGTCGTAACAACAACACAAGATATCCTTTACATATTATAACTACCTTATGTTTGTTGCCGGACCAGCAATATGACGTTATTCACGTATACTGCAGAGTGGTGGACTTTAGTATTTACTAACTAGAGCATATATTTTCGTCGTGATATATAGTCAAGGCGTTCTAGAAACATGAATTAACTGAATACGTTAATCGCCTCTACTTAAATGATATTAAATTCAATGCACAGGCATTTTACGGTACGTAGATTACTGTTACTATAACACTATCCGATTTTTACCTTATCATAACCACTGAGAGTAATGTAGGAAAATCGTTAATTTGGCTAGATATAAAACGATACCAAGTTATTATCATATGTTTAAATGCTTAACTGAGTATTCTTCTCCCTACTGAACTCTTCCATATTTTAAGCATTTTCGAATAAAAGTTAGTCGTTTATCACGATGGATATTCATGAATGGTTGGAGAACTATCTCTTTATTTTTAAATTCTTTAAGAAAATTATTCAGTAGTTACTTTGCC